AATATAAAGCAATTGCAGAGCAACTTCCCAACACTGAAAAAAAGGATTAATGCTTTACAGATGTTGAACCCTCGCCTCCCAAAAATTGGTTCGGCATCTCCACCTCGATGCATGAATTGTGTGACATCGTTCCAAAATTTCAGTTAGGTGAAATAATACAACTTTCGTTTCATGCTGATTGATTTTCGTTGTCGCCAAAACACTTACCACGTTCCAAAATTAAGTTTGCAAGGTGTGGGTGAACCGATCGCAGTACTTTCCTGAAGATTGGATAGGCTTTCGTACTTTTTCTCGGTAAAATCTCCAACAACTCCTCACATTTTCCCGATCGTGTTTGTTTCGCTTTTGTTTTTTCTTCTTCAGATTGGGTAAATACGTTATCAGCTGCTACTTTTAGTAAAGCTTCGTCTGGATCCATATCTTGTAAAAGGTCTCGTTTTACTCTATCTAAAATCTGCCTATGCTTGTCACTCAATGGTTTGTCCCTTGCTCTCCCTGTTTCAACTGAAAAGTTCAATGAAGAAATAACCATGAAATGTGTGATTTAGTTCTCGTTATGATTACAAGAGTGTTTGAAAGGAAAGATGATAATATGGATACAGTTACTATTTGTGTTAGACAGCACACTAATCGATGAAATACATAAAGTATGTTCGCACAACAAGACACAACAAGACAGAAATGCAACGGAACTACAAAGAGCTAAGGCATTAAGTACATGGCCATTTCCGACCTCAAACATACTAAGGAACTTGATCAATTTTGCTAGTGGCAAGACATGGTTATGACTTCTCTTTCAGTGAGTAATTAGCTTCTGTTTTGATTAGACGGAGACGAATTCCAAAGTCTTACTATATTGTAAGAAATAGACAAATTTTTTGAGAGACATGTTTCGGCATGCTTATGTCATCTTCAATCAATGAGTAACTGAACGTGAGTAATTATATAGCATACCAAATAGATGAGAAAAATATTTACAGTATGATGTAATACAAAATTCACTTTCGAAAAAGAGAATGATGGTAAACTCTCCTTTCTAGATATATTTATCGACAACTCTTCGAATGATTGTGTTTCCTCAGTTTTTCATAAAAAAAACTAACACTGGTCTCCTAACAAATTTCTTTAGTTTTATTCCATCATGTTACAAAATTGGCCTTATCCGAACTCTTATTGACCGTATCTACAAATTCAACAACACCTCTTCCGGCCTTCAAAACGATCTTAATAAACGTTCTGACACTTTAAAACGTAATTCTTTTCCTCCGCATATTATTGACAGAGCTTTCAAGCGGTATCTTGACGGGTCCTCCTCTCAAAATAGCCGGAACATTGATGACAATAATACACGTTACTTTAAACTACCTTTTGTCGGCTATTATTCTAAAATAGCGAACCTTAAACTCCGGCAACTCACTAAGCGCTTTTGCAAATCGGACCTTAATATCAAACTAGTTTTCACTTCTTTTAAAATTAAAAACATGTTCAGTGTTAAAGATTGTACTCCTGATGCTCTAAAATCCATGGTAGTTTACCAATTTTCCTGTGCGGGTTGTAATTCCCGTTATATTGGCGAAACCTGTCGACACTTCTCTACTAGGATAAAGGAGCACACGGAAAGCGATAAAAACTCGCATAGTTTTAAGCATTTCAACACATCTGGTTCTTGTAAGAACAAATACTCCCTTTCTTGCTTTAGTATTGTGGATTCTGCTAACAACTCAATTGATTTAAAACTGAAAGAAGCTATTTATATAAATAAGACCAAACCTGAACTTAACAAACAATTACAGAATTATTGTAAGAAATAGACAACTTTTTTGAGAGACATGTTTCGGCATGCATATGCCATCTTCCATCAATGAGTAACAGAACGTGAACAGAACAAGACAAGTAGATAAATAAAATATTTACAATAATACACGTTACTTTAAACTCCCTTTTGTCGGCTATTATTCCAAAATAGCGAACCTCAAACTCCGAAAACTGACTAAACGCTTTTGTAAATCGTACTTAAATATCAAACTAGTTTTCACTTCTTTTAAAATTAAAAACATGTTCAGTGTTATAGATCGTACTCCTGATGCTCTAAAATCCATGGTGGTTTATCGATTTTCAAGCTTATTACACCTTTCTGTGTTTTCGTCATCCTAGGGATGTTTGTAAAACGTTCTAATAGGCTGAATCTAATCTAGGTCTCTCACTAAGTTACAATCGAGTCAGGAAACTTCACTTGTGTTTTTCAGAAATCACTTTTACAATAATGAGTAATTAAGTTCATCCCTCCGATATTTTTCTTCTTGGCTTTGTACATTGCAGATGAACTTCCAAGGAGACCGCGGAACACGAGAAGTAACGAGCCTTTGAAAACGATGCACAGCCTGCTGATGGAGGTAGCTTCATTAGAAGAAGTCATTCAAAAAAACATCGTTGAGCGTATAGCGAGGAATGAAAATTCCGAGGGGCTGAGCTGAGAAAAATGATCGAAAAAGTCAGAAAGGGGAAGAAAGATTTCTCGGGAGCATCATGAAAAAGGCAATTCCGTAACGTCGTCACTATAGTGCTATTTTATCAATGTCTGCTCTATTCAATAGCAGGAAAAATAAAAGCCGAAAGCTAGAATGGGAAAGAACTGAGGTGAGTATGTGAGTCAAGGTTCGAAATTGCAACTAGCTGTTCCCTATGTTATTGAGCCGGAATAGTAATGACCAGGATTTCGCCAGCAGGCGACAAACTTGTAGTCTTGAGGATATTTTTCGTGCCAATAATTAACCCCTCAACAAACGAAATGTCCATCATATTTTCCCTGCGCTCTCGCACACTCAGCTGGTGATCATTTCCTAACAGGAATAGCTTGGAACTAAAGGAACGTCTTTAAAACCTCGCTTTTTTTGTAACTTGTAAGCCTAAAATTGCACAAATCTTAATTGTTTTGGCAAGTAAAATGTATTATATGGAGATATTAAGAAAAAGAAAAATTTAATCACCCCTGGCACTCATGTAAAAAAATTACAGAAGCAATAACGGAACAAAAAGGGTGAGGCACTTCGGAACATCTAGATTTATGGGCTTTGATGTTTACTTTACCCTTATGTAGCCTTTTTCAAAGCAAAACTCGTGGTTTGTATTTCTTTTCTATGAAGGGCTCTAGTCTTGCATTATACATAATTATTCTTCAGATACATAACAAAAAATCTGTTCTTGAAAGGTTCTTTACTTGTCGTACATTTTTCCTGAGCGAAAACTGGAAACTCTCAAAATTAAAAATTTCGTCGACGACGTTTGTTTATTTTGCCAGAGACATCTAGCTTCACGATACTACCATTTGCAAACTTCCACGGTTGGCCCAGCGTTACATTGTTTTTACGTTTTGGAAACAAATACGATCAGTTCAGGTACTCATTACCCGGATCCCGACTTCACAAGGATGTTCAAACTTCAGTCATTTTCACCAATATCAGACACTTTCAGGACTACCCTCGGCCGAACGATCACATTACACGACTGAAAATAGATGTAAACATAAAAGCGGCGAACGTCTGCGCAAATTTCAATAAAAACGTATGAAAAATTCCGTGAGGTCAGTAATTAAAAAAAAAGATTTTTGTATTTTAAAATAAAATGTACTTTCAATGAACATATCAAACTGTTTCCCCACTGCGATGGACATTTGTTTTTGTCGGTTCCAGGCTGGCGCGGCCGCTAACCCAGATGTCTTCCTGAACAAATTTTCAAAATGGCGGACAAGTTAAAGAGAGAGATAAGAGAACCAAAGCGATTCTGCAACGAATACTCAGCATACACCCCTGTTAAAAAGGTCATTTCACAGAGAAAAGATACAAAATTGTATGATATTGAAGTCACGGAGGTTGACAAACCCAACAAGAGACTGAAAATTCACTACATTGGCTACAGTACACGCTTCGATGAGTGGAGACCCTTCGGGGTTCTGTCCTCGTGTACCGGTTCACAAGAGCCAATACAAAAGACCAAACAATACACAATAGCTAACCGATAACTCCTAAACAAAGAAAGAACAATGGTAATTCCCTTGTGAACCGGTACACCAGGACAGAACCCCCTTCGGGGACGGTGAAGCATCTGAATATTTTCCTTCGAAATTGTATAGATTAGTAGGCTGCAACAAAAATTTATTGGACGACGTTTAGGGTAAAAACAGCAATCTAACCTGAAAAAAATGTATTTATTCCGACTCTTTCGGAAAATAACTTTACAAATCTTACTTGTTTATCTCGTAAGTAAACGATGGTGAAGCCCTTTCCGAGCTACCCGATTCTTCTCCCACTGCTTTCACGCTTATAAAACAGGAAACGAGCAAAAGGAGGAAGGTGTGGCTGTTTTGACTAGCCATTTGACGAGGTTCAATCTGCTCCTTGTTCGACAATTTACATATCAAAACAAAGGAAATTTGTTCCTCTCTTTGATTTTGGCGGTACATTTTCAATTTGCGCTTGCGTAAGAGAGAAATCGCCCAAGACTCCTTGCTCGGTCTTGTTTTGACCACGAACGCCTTCTTAATTTTGACGGACCCGCTCGGGAAAAGGTGAAAATGACGAGGGAAAAACTTTACTTTGTAGTACGAAAATACACAAAATGGAAAGCCATGATATTATAGTTCAATATTTCGGTGGTACATTGTTAACTTTTTATACAGAGAGTCGGCAAGATGATACAACATCCAAAAATCGCACTCGATTTGAGTGGGCCGATGAAGTGGGCGTGGTCACGAAATTCAGTAAGAGACTATTTGTAACCCGTGAGTTTGATATGAAAACGTTTACTACTCCATCTTGCATATATCACATGCCGAATTATTTGGTTAATCCATTTAAAATGCTTTTTGGTCATCAAGCGAGTATTACTGAGCCTATGCTTATGTTTTACAAGCCTCTCCAGATTAGGGCTTTGCCAGCTTTAAACTAACTTCTATATTCATCAAAGTTTTTTTCTTTTTTTTTTTTTTTTTACAGTGAAATTTCTTTCCTCGACTTCTTTGAGCTCTTCACTTGATTTTCTCCTTTCACACAGCCAGGGATTGTCCTACCGTTTGGCTGAAAAGAAAAAAAAATTATGGAAAAAATCGTGTTTGCACCGCTATCACACTACAAATCATTCTCGAAGACATGCCATGGCAAGAACAGCTAATTTCTGCTGACAGATTTTCAAGCTCAATTTCGCGCCTGATGAAGGCTATTATTAACGTATTGTCTTAATTATGGTATGATATAGCAAACCGCTTTCTAGGACGATAAAAACAGATTTACATACCAAAAAAATTTTCTGCAATCCTCTTTTTTCCAATTCTTACAAAGGCGTCGTAAAGGCATCCTACAGTTGCGTCATTTCCTTCCCTATCCCTCCATGATTGAAGTACGGCCAATCCTCTATCTCTAGCGCATCCATTATCTGTTTTTATATTGTGAAGCTCGCCTTCTGGTATTTGAAGATCTACTCCAAGTTTCTTCCAGCAGGTTCCCGCGTCGTCCTGAATAGACATACATCGCTGGAAAGTAACGACTTCCTTTCTCCATTTTTCGTTTTCAGCTGTGAATCATGAAGACGAAAGCTCATTACATAAGCGCTCCACCATGTCCGTTACTTGTCAGTTAAAATAAATACTGGTGCATAAAAGTTTAATTTCATGTAATTTCCTGTGCTACCCATTTGGCAGTTTTGATGAATACGACAACAGAACCAGTTACCTTACCTTTACCACGATATCACCCATCACCCTGATTAAGAACTGAATCATATATGGGAATTGTTAGATCAAGCAAAGTTGGCTTACTTAGAAAGTAAACTCCCCCTTCCCTTCTTTGGGAAAAGATTAAAGTAAACCTAAGAACTTACTTGAGTCAGGTGCCTGTGTTGTCCTGTCGGCTTGCCCTGAGTTTGCATCACTTCCCAGTTCCATGTTTTCTGGGATATAAAATAAAATAAACGGATTGAAATGCGAAACTTACAAATGTTTACAAAAAATTATTTCCCTCAGGAATTCATGATCTCGGTTAACTGCAATAGGAAGCATTACAGGGAAATTTCCTAGCACTCAAAAAGGAATAAGGTTTTACAGGTGTTGGGCCCTCGCTTCCCAGAAACCGTAAATCGAAATCTAAATGTCATTGTGCAACATCGTTCCAAAGTTAAAATTGCGTGTAATCATACAGCTTCTGTTTCCTTGCAAATTTATTTTCGTGGTCGCCAAAACACTTACCACGTTCCAAAATTATGTTTCTTAAGGGTGGATGAACAAATAGGAGCGCTTCCTTGAAGATTTGATAGGCTTTCGCGCCCTTCGTTGGTAAAATCTCCAGAAACTGCCCATTTTTTTCCGATCGTATTGTCTTCACTTTTATTCTCTCTTCTTCGGTTGGGCTAAAGACGTTCTCAGCTGCCATTCTAAGTAGAATTTCATCTGCATTCATATCTCTCACAAGGTCCCGTTCTACGCTTTTCAAAATCTTTCTATGTTCGTCGCTCAATGGCTTGTCAAGAGCTGTATGAGTTGCCCTACCAGTTGCCATTCTTGCCGTTTTCGTTTCACTAAACAGTTCAGTGAGAAATAATCCTATGTGTGATCAGAAATACACGATGAATAACTGTTTGTATCCTTACAGACTTTGGTTCTCATAATGAGTACACAAATGTTTGATAAGAGGTATGATCACATGGAAACAATTAGATGCATTTGTGTTCGACAGGACAGCTATCATTATCGATGAAAAAGGGAGATTTCCGTGCATTATGTATTCAGCAGATCACCAGAAGATATCTTCAAATTGCGTTTTGGTGTGTGGCGGAGAGTAAAACAATGGGAAAATAAAGGACAGCCCAGAAAACAAAAATATGCTATTGCAATGGAACTATAAAGAGGTTAGAGCTTAGGTACGTTTTTTGATCAAAGAGGGATTTAAGGATATTTTGTAAAAGACTTCGGTCGGGTCAAAGCTGTTCATTAGGAGCAAGAGAAGATGGTCTCTTGCCAGGATTTATTTTTACCGTCCCTACCTGTGCGCCTCGAAGCTCAGTAAAAAATTTAAAGCTTTCATAAATTCTTTAAGAAATTTAACCTTTCTTTGGGTTGATGAGTTTAGGATTTGTATGAATTACACGTTCTATACTTTTCAACGCACTACTTATACCCTAGTCAGTTGTGACGGAAGTACTTATCTGCCTAGAGGAAATTGCACAACATAGGCAGGTCACCAAACGATATATCTATCTATACTGAAGCTGTAAAAATCAAGTACCCGCAAAAAGCTCTGCAGCAATTTTAAAATTCTCAGATGATAGATGTTTAAATAACATGTAGAAAGACGTATGACTCAGACTCGACCAGGTTCAACTGTAGGAGGGTCCACTTTATAAATCACTGCCAAATTATTCGAACAGCAGTATTAACGATGTTTAATTTATGAGGTTGATTTTCAATGATTGTAGGTTCCGTCACGCTTAAATGCCAACTTAGATCAGAACAGACAATTTGCGCCCTTATCACTTTTAAAGCAAGATGGGGTCTGTTCAAGATTTTTCTTTTAGATATTCAGTTAAAATCTTTGAACGACAACTTCCATAGAGATGGTAAATAGCGGCGTGCAATACGTGCTAGCGATAATCGCGCATTGAAATCTACCTCGCTTCATGCTTTCATGAATAGCCTTTGGCGTTTTAACCATCAAACCCTCTCTCCATTCTGCATAATTAAGATTTCAGAATGATTTTAAAATTAATTATTCCCGCAAAAACAAAGTACAGGTACCAATTACGTACGAGTTACAGAATTAGTCGGAATCCAAGGTAGATCCACGGTAATTGTAGGTTATCAAAGCGGATACAGCTTTCAAATCGGTCACGCCATGAAAAATCAAGAAGATTAATTTGTTGTTGATGCAAGGTGAAATTTTCCCAAAATAAACACTTTCCATAGTACGCGATCGTTCGTTCTCGTTCATTTAAAAACTGTATTTGATTATGTCTACTAGTTTTGAACCATTGGGAATGCGGAAGCGAAGGTCCTTTGTCAATCTTGTCACTTTGTCATATGTGCGAACGAAGACTAGTTGCGTCCTCGCTGAGCACCAACTAATAGTCGATAGATTGGTTTGATGTGAATAAAGAAGAAAAGTAAAGAATTAAAACCGACGAAACGTTGTAAAAAAAGAAGCTTAGGCCTTACTTGACTTGGTCGACAGTACATGTAAAACTTAGGAGCGATAGGATAGGACGAGGGGCGATATCGCAGTATTCAATAACTGACCACTGTCCCAACTACTAGCCCTCGTGGGACTTCATCGTCAACAAAACACATTTTTGAAAGACAGCTGATCCCAGGTAAGTGCCAAGTAGCTGATATCTCTCGAAAGATTAGAATAAAACTGGTATTACGATGTCAACCGTACCATTCTGAATGCCCTAGTTACGGCTTAATACGATACCTGCATGTGAAGCTGATCCGTGATAAACAAATGAGCTGGTCTGAATTGAAGGTTTCAGATGATTCTTCTTGAAAGTGAATATTTTTGTCTTCTTTAAACGTCCAACTTTCCTCCAAAACGTTCTTCTAAACGAAGAAACTGGAACTGATCTCACCAATATATCGGAGCTCTCTGTCTCAGTCACCAACAATTCATTCCACAGTCTCATTTTTCAGCTCGATTTCCACGTGACCTTAAGTAAACTTTAATCAGCAACTTAACCAATGAAGAGGACAGCAGATCAAATTGCAGATTACTGCATAAAAAGACCTCCTTGTTACGTCACCTAAAATACTCCTCTTATTCATTTGTATATGTCACACATTCCTAGAGCTGTTCTTGAGGAAAAACAATACAGAGAGCCAATTGTTGCAGAATTCTCCACTGCGTTAAGGAAAATCTCTGCGTTCCGCTGGCTCAGCAATCAATAGGACTGTATCTTTCTGGTTTATCAAGTTTATTTACGATCCGCTTACGCCTCTACAATTTCCGTACAATCTTCGTTCAGTCGATCTCAATGTCTATTCCGAATGCCCTCAGTTACAACATGTTATCTCTATTTATCACAACGGAAATACACACCTAGTTACGTAAATCCGAGATTCACAATGCTTATTTGCGCTTTACTAAGCCATTTTCCTGTCGCACAGTTTGACTTGCGTCCTTACCCAGACTAATCCAATTAGCCCCTAGCAATTAAACCCACACCCACTATTTGCGGAGCACGTGTCGCATATTTCTATGTGTCACAGGATGTTTCAGCCCAAACGTACGCCCTAAATNAGACGTCTGGATGGTATCCTGTCGTTGTTCCGAGAAGATGGCTTGATCGAAGGCCTCATTCGGCGATGCACATTTACCATGATTGACCGTATAATTGTTTGTGTGCAATTTGAAGTGGAGGAGTGAAAACAATTTGGAGTTAAAAGAATTTGCTTTGACGTCTTCCAGATTGTCATGAGCGTCAAACTAAGCGGAAATCAGGGTTTCATATACAACAGTAATTTGTTGGTCGTCACAGATTTCGCGAATTTCTATATTTTTCAAGGTACTAGAGGTATGAACAAGCCTTGGCTTCATTTTCCTTTTTTTCTCTTTGCCACTGTCATGGCCGTGAACTTTCATTATTCCGTTTTAAATGGAAAACAAAAAAAATTTTGCAATGTTTTCTTAACAAATGCGAGTTTGCATTTTCGTAGTTGTAATTTACAGTTTATCGAGTGAAATATCAACAATCTTTCTCACAAGTTTAAGATGAATATTTTATTTTAATTTTACCGTTTCTGGTTGAATTAGAATTAAAGTCTCATCTACATTTTTACGATCTCTTGTTTACTGAAAATTATGTTTGCTTTTTTTTTTTATGGCAACATTTACACTTCTCCATTTCCGTTCATAAAACATACTGTCAATGTTTATCATCTTGGATCCAACAATGATTTCATTTTCCTTTCCATCTTCCGGTGAGTTGTTTAGGAAAGTTCTCGGTCATTTCATTTTATTAGGAATCAAATTCAGTGAGAAACAAATCGTAGCACTCAGAGGTATCCACTTAAATTTTTCGCGGAACAAAGTAAGACGTTCTGAATACACTCGTCACGACGTTATTGATGGGGCGTTGACTTTACCATCCCCCTTTAGCTCGTTAAATAAACTTTCAAGAAGTAAACTTTCCATTTTTGTTTCTCAAACGGCCAATTCCGCTGGAAACAATAAAGGTACCTGGCAATTTTGAAACGCTCATGGCGGCCATGTTTGTTTACAACTCGGCCGCGGATCTGATCGCGCGCGCCATCGCTTATTTCTCTCGCGAGTAATTTGCTTGCGTGTATCTTGGAATTCATTCTCCGCGCGGTCGAAAAAACCCTTTCGAGCCTCCTTAAACGAGTCGTCCTCCTTATTTCCACAATTCAACGCCGAAAACTGACCAAAGACATCGGTGTCAATTATTTTGAATCCTTCTTATTGGAAACTCATTTGAATCACAAATAATTTTAAAATTATAATTCATGTTTGAGCTTAGAGTTGCACGTGGAAAGAGCTTTCACGAACTTCAAGGGAATTTTGCCTCTTCTCCGGCGTTTGTCGAGTCAAGAAACATGGCTTTTCGACACTACTACCTTGGATATTGATTGTTCTGTCCTGGTCAGCTTAAGTTTATTCTGCTTAATCCATTGGTTCAGATTTTATGTGAAGGATTCATGATTCAAGTTAATTTGTCGCGACTTTACATGAGGTAAATAACCTCAAAAGTAATAAATGTTTGGATGAAAATACAGAGTTCATATTTATCGTTGTTACTTTCGTTAAAAGAAAAATCTTAGAGTCAGGAAAAATTTACGGAGGAAGAAGAACGGAATGAATTTTGTACGTTGTGGGACAAATCTCTGTAGCAGCTGCCATGACAGTTACAGTTAATCACACTTTATTATTTTTATAATGTTTGTTAACTTATTTAGATAAGTTTCCAGCTGGTTTTTTTCAATAACACTTAAGAAAATTAAATTTGTCATCAGCACATGTAACTGTAATTTCTCTAGATGATTTTTTCGATCCTACACTGAAATTTTCACTTTAGAATGTATACCATTTAGATATGTACATATCTATGTTATATTTTATTTATTTTCCCCACAGTAAAGAATCTCGAAAAAAATGAGAACACCTAGAAATAAAGAAATTTAAGAAAGGAAAGATAAGACAAATTCTAACAAGGTTAGATATGTGGCTTTTTATTACAAATGTAAGCTGGGTTGAACGATTTAATATGGATTTATAAAACGTTTGCAATCCATAGCCAATTTGGTTGATAGTGAAGAGAAACATCAAATAGGAAATAAATCTGTTTCTTCTCCGTCTAATTTCTTGGATCCGTCTCTAACTGAGATGGCTTTCGATAGTTCCTTACAGTTCTATTCGTTTAATGATCTTTATCACGAATCCCTTTTATCAGTCTTCATTAAACTTTAGAGTCAGTGAAATTACTTTTTGCAAAGCGTAAAGTTGTTGGAGGTCTCATTTCTTAAGGCAAAAATAAATTTGAAAAAATCATCAGAATGCTTCGAAGATTATCATTTCTTAATTTTTTTCTCTATAATTCTTCTCAGGATCTCTGATAATTTGATACTCTAAAAGTTTTTTTTTACACAAACAAAATTGTTTTATTTGCAGTACAGTAAACACCTTGAAGCCTCAGTAATAAGAAGGCGAGCCTTGTTTGAGCTCTTAAAGCTAAAGCCTGATTACAGCAGTGTACTCCAAGCGTTGATATATGTGATTATCTTCAAACTATGATTCTATGAGGCTAAAACCAAATTAAAGCCGGATACTCCATACATTGATACTTGGTTCTCGAATTGCTTAAAGACTATGTCAGTTACTGGCTGATATACAATTTTATAGTGAAGCAACAAAAGTATCCCACAGTGAGTAGTGAGCACAAAGATACTGATATAGTACTCTTTTTGTGGTGATTCAATTCTTAATTCAAAAGCTTAGAGCCCATTTTTAGATAAGTCTGATCTCTAAAGGCTAAAAACAAATTGAAACAGTATGCTCCATGGATTGATTGTTTCTCAAATTGCTTCTAGAATTTGTTCATCTGACGTCAAATTGTTTTAGTTGATTCATTTACAATCCTAAAGCCTTTTCTTTAAAGATGTTAGAGCTTCTGAGGCTAAAACTATATTTATATGGTATGTTGCACCACTTGATGGTTTTCTCTCCAACTCTTTTCAGAGTTTCACGGTCATCAACCGTTAAAATGTTTTTAGAGGGACTCAATGGGAATCTCAGAGCCAAATCATTAAAGATGTCTGCTCTTTTGATCCTAAAATCAAATTGAAACAGAATATTTGTCTCTGGTGTTGCTTTTATATTTTGTCATCAAATGACATATAATTTTTTGAGGTGAATCATTGATATCTTGGAGCTTACTGACTAAGTTGTCTGAGGTCCAGTGAGGCTGAGACTAAAATTTTTATAGTACATATGCTTCATTTATATCGATATCTGTAATACGTTCCTCAAATGCATTTAGAGATTGTAATCAGCTAAAACAGCATTGTTTAAAGTGACTCAATACACGCCTTGGATTCTAAAAATCAATGCTGTTGGAGCTCTTGAAGCTTAAACGTCATTGAACTGTGTGCTCAAAAAGGGGTACATGTACTTGCTTCGTGTTCCGCTTTTGAAATTCATCATCAACTGAAATCATGCTTGTTTAACGTTATCAAATCAAAATCTTACAGTCTAGCATCATTAAGGATGTTCGAACATTTAAGTCTTAAGTCAAATTTTTACAGTATCCTCCATAGATTTATGTTTGTTTCTCTGATTGCTTCTAAAGTTTGTCATCAGCTGAAAAAATCTCCTTTTTTTATTGACTCATCATAGATTTTAGAACTCTAGAAACTTAAATGACCATTGAAAAGTGAGCTCAAAGATACTGATATAGTGCTTTTTTGAAGTGATTCTGATAAAAAAATGTCTTCAAAATGCTCAGAAATGTGTAATTAATGAGGCTTGAAACCAACTTGAAACAGTTTTCTAAAATTAAATGATGTTTTGTACTCCTCGGTTCTTGATTAATTTTCATCAACTGATAAGTAATTTTTTGAGTAACTCAACTAAAACCCTAGGAGTCTAATCTTCTGAGAGGGTAACTGAGCTCTTGAGGCTGAAACGAAATTGCAACAATGCGCCCCATAACTTGATGGTTGGTTTTCAGATTGCTTCTAGAGTTTGCCGGAGGGGCAACTTTTAAAAGTGACTCCATAAAGACCTCGGTGTCTATTCATTAAAGATGTTAGAACTCTCGGGGAGAACCCATATCGAAAAGCATGCTCAAAAATCGATATTTGTGTCTCAAACTTCTCGTAAAGCTTTTAATAAGTCTCCATGGATCTTTTGAAGCTCAATTCAGTAAAATTACTATTGAGGCCTTAGCGTGAAGAAGTTGAGGATTAAACCAAAAATGTTCCAAAATAGATATTTGATTGTATAATTTGGCTTGTATTTGGCCAACTATATAAATATACAACTCTTTTTGAAGATCTTCGAGCCTAGGGACTAAAGTTTCTCAGCTCTTGAGACTAAAATCAAATCATAACAGTACGTTCCAAAACTTGATTTTTGCTTCTTAAATTATATCTAAAGTTTATCATCAGCTGATATGGATATTTGTCTTTACTTGATCTCGAAACATTCTGAGGGGTAAACACCTTAAAAAATGTCTCATCTCTTGAGACTAAGACTAAGATGAAACAACATGCTCATAGATTGATAGTTAGTTCTCAAATTGTTTGTCAACAGCTGATATGGAATTTTTTAAAGTGACTCAATAAAAACCCGAAAACCCAATCACCAAAGATATCCGAGCTCTTGAAGCTCAAACAATATTAAGCAGTGTGTTTAGGAAAGGCTATTTGCTTCCCGAGTTGCCTGAGAAGTTCAGCATCAGTTGCTATTGTACTTTTTACAACATTAGAATCAATCAATCAATCAATCAATGCTTTATTTACCCACGTTGCGTCAGGGAGCTCATAGAGCTCGTTCAAAATACGTACGTGCCTCTAAGATTAAGAATCTAAAAAACCTAATACATACTGTCAAAACCTAATTGATTAGAAATTAAAATAACTAACAATTAATATTAAAATTTAAGTTTGTACAGTAAAATTCAAAGTCACTTAAATACAGGTATAAAATGGTGAAGCAATA